CAGGAGTCAATCAGTTGACAAATATTTGTTTAACATTTAGAGGTTTTGTGGCTGTACAGATGGTCCGATAAATGACAGAGGTGTAAAACTCTAGGACAATGGGCTACATGTGTCCCGGTAAACAACTGTATGCGTACTGCAAGCGAATTTTCGGTAGTCCATCCTGTGAATCTTCATAACATATTAACATAGAATCTAACTCCAAACATTAACTTTTTGCCTAGAAAAGATGCTGAACATACAGCTCTACAAATCATAAAATGGCATACGAGCAAAAAATGGTATTACTTGATTTGTTATAATTTAACTTTTTGTCCATTTTGATTCATTTTTGCTTAAAAATGATTTTGCTTTCCATTGTCAAGTGACTGGCTGAGTGTTTGGCCCACAACTTTAAGAGTAATTTGAGTTTGGCCACTTGAGCGATTGAGTTTGACATCCTTTCAATAAAGAAAGCGTTATGACAATACTTTACCAAGCCCCTACATTTCCAAATCCAGTTTAGGCCACAGCACAGACACAGCGAGGCTGAGTGTAATGCAATGCACTTGTTTTGTATTGTTTTGAAAGAACAAGACTAATGGGGTGTCTTTTTTAAACTGTGAGTGTTGTGAACTTTGGGCTGATTTTCTTTTGAGAAAAACTTTTGCAAAAGTTTTCTGTTTTTGTATGCCAAATTATATGACTACATAGAAAGCTCCTGGATTTTCTTGTTGAAATAGAGATTCCCATATTTCTTTTTTCAGCATCCTCCATTGAGAGTAGGGATGTAATTTATTGCACCTAAAAATGCTAATTTTCAAGAGAAGCAAAGACCTGATTTACTCCTCAACAACTAATGACACTATTCTCCATCATTGTTACTTGGCTATTTGTATACATGCAGCTACAGGCTTATCATTTTGACCAAGTGCACCCTGCGTACACCTCGCATATATCTCTGTTGAAAAACATTTTATCTTGAAATTAGGTCATCTGTTGAATACTGCGAAAAAAAATTCCTTCTATTACTAACTTCTATGAAAGATTATATACACTGCAAGATGAGCTACTCCTCTATTAGAGATGCAAAAATGCAGATCTTAAAAAAGTCGGAGGCAACATCACTACAAATAAAAACAAATACTTAACAGTCAGAGTGATGTTTCTTGTCTTGTATTCAAAGAGTAACTGCAAAGATTACTCTAAAAGAACTTCTATTTAATTTAAGAAATGAAACAAACTTTTTTTTATCAGCCCTGGCGGCAACATCTCTAGTTTTGCATATTTATTTGTTGCTGTGGATGCTTTTTTGTACCGAAAAAAAATCTCTTAACACAATCTTTGCAATTACTAACAGATATAATCTCAGACTTACCACTTAAGTTGAAAAGGCTCTGAATTGTTCATGAGCATCTAGACAATTCAACTGATAGGTTCATATTCTTACCTCTCTCCCCTAACAAATAATTTGCCATAACTAAAAATTTGATTGATTGTGACTCCCTGTTTGTCACATGTTAGATCATGCAGGAAGCTGGCTACTTAGGCTAACCTGTGTTTTGTGGATTACAGCATCCCAGCAGATAGACAGAGATACAGTCAAAGCTGTCCAAGATGGGTCTGAGATCCATTGTTGAGGAGGAAAGTGCCCCGTCTCACACAGTGTCATTATAATGTAAAAAATACACAATGGAGGAAATAGGGCAGTGCTACTGACTGAAGTGTCTTTTGGCCATTCCCAAAGGGGGGATATTAACATGTTCTTATGCACAATAGAATTGTAAATGGTCTGATTTATCAATGTCATGCTCATACTGTGCCGGAACAACAGAGGGGGAACTACTGCTTTTTCTTTCCTCATCCTTACTATCGTCATTATTCCTCTACTTCTTTTGTACGCTTGTCACTCTCTTGTGAACTGCTGTTTCCGGGGTGCCTTGATAGTTAAATCCTGATTCCCCGTTTGGACTTCTCTGTTGACATCCACCCCTTGGCACTCATATATTATATGACCTTATGCAGTTGCGAGCGCCGTAAAACGTTACTACAACAAACAAGGAAGGAAATGGGAAGTGACTGTTTGTAAAGGTGATATCAAAATAGGGTCCCATCAAAATAATGAAATTGAAGATACAGTCTTTTTCTCCATTTGACAATTTTTATGGGATTGGTTTTTTGGCTCAACACCTTTATATCCTTTAGAAACATACTTCTGAGTGGATTTCCCTGAAAAACATACCGTAGATGAAAGACACAAAAAAAAAGGTAAATTTTCAGTTTCTAAGGACTCTCAAGCTATGGAAAAGACCAAACTTTGGTGGCCATTTTCTTGCTTATTTTACATCCGAAACGAAGCGACCCCCACCATCTTCAATCGCAAATATCTTGACTTCTATTCAAGATAGATGGGTATTTTTCTTTGAAAGATGGATAAATGAACAAGCTTTAAGAAGACACCAATAACACCACATGCCCAAAAATTGATGAGGAGAGATCAGGACGTTAGATGTTTGATAAGAAAGAAGGAGCAAACCATACCACAGGAGCCGTCAAGCACATGTGTCTTATACATGTGGCTGTTTGAGCAGATTCGACTGTACTTGATGAAATAAACCAGTCCACAAAGCAACCCACTTCTATTACTTACATCACAGACATCGGTCAAAACTAAAAGGAATAAGACGTCAGACAATCGAAAAAAGCAAAACAAAATAAACAAAACGTCAAATATAAATCATAGTAAGTCTTTATTTGTGAACAATTTCATTAATAAATGATGTGTACAGAAATATATTATGTTTATATAATATATATATATATCAAAGAAAATTGAAGAAATTTCCTAGGTGCTGAAAATATTGATGACTCGATTGAGAGAGCAGTATTAGGTTCAGGCTGAAACTGTCATTGAATTACAAGATATAAATCCCTATTGCCAAAAATCTAGTCTTTTAAGATCACAGTTCATTGCATAAAGTATGTCAGCATGTGCTGTTTGTAGACATCTCTTTCTGGACAGTCCATTAAGTTCCAGAAATCAACTGTTGTCTTGTCTACTCAAAGATTTCTTCTAATTTTCTGACATATTGTAATTGTATTTTATTTGTGTGACTCCTACCTTCAAAGTCAATAACACATTTTGAGACCTAGGACATGGCACTTCTTAGGCAGCTGAAGAGCAATTTGAGCAAGGTTGCCCCCCAAAATTCCCCCCCCCCCCTCATCAATAGATCATTCAGCCTGCTGGTCTCGGCTCCAACCAAGAACAGCATGAACATCAGTTCTTAGAGGGCATTTTAAACCTCCACCTGTACTATTCAGCTCGTATAGAAATCCAGCCGCTTCAACCGTGCCTATCTTACTGATCTCAAAAGAAAGACAGATACTTGAAAGAAAATCTTCCGTACAAGAAAATCAAGCTGACAAATTTTGCATTCAGGCCAAAGAGCCTAACTATGTCACTATGACTATCTACAGCATGTACCGCTATCAGTATTCTCATACAATTTTCCACCTCTTAAATGACAGTTTTCAGAAAGAATGTTCAAGACAACGTTGTATGCTTTTTTATGCATAAAACACTTGAATAGCTGTGAGTATTCAAACAAGTAAAAAAGAATGAAAAGAACATTCTGCTGTCTTGTCTACTAATTTTTTTTTTTTATTGTTTCAATAAATGAGAACCATCAGCTCAGTCTCTTACCCTAGCCAGCATTTGTTATGTGTGATAATTACTTTCCTGACATCTTTGTGCGTGAAACTAAAAAACCCCCATTAATCTATTCACTATGCTGCAGTAAACTTTGCTGGGACTGAAGCCGGAACTAAAAAAAAAAGAACATTGAGACGTTGAGGTAAAATACCTCACACTATATTCTCTGTGCTCTTTGACAGATTCAAATTAAAACATTAAAAAACAGACCAAATTTCAAGTCTAAGACATGCATGTTATTCACTTTGACATATTCTATCAGGGGCTAACTTGTGAGTTGAACTGGCCAAGAGCCTAGCAATAACGCTTCGTGCTTTTTTTTTGTTGGAATGTACAAAAATGACAAATGAATCAATGAAGATTATAAAACTATGTATACAACACATAAATTTATGCTCTGCTCCAGTCGACATTATTTAGTTGTTCCTCAGACAGACGATACCTTAACTGTACATTTCTCTGTTGAATGCGTACTTCAAAACGATGAAAAAAAGATCAGCTGACTGTAACTAGTAACTAGTCATTCATTTATACATTCAATGTGCAAAAAAGGTGTTGTATCATTGCAAGTACATACAAAGGCCAAGAAGACCACATATGCAAAAACACAAAACACAGGCAGATATGCTACTTAGATTCTCATTGATATATAAGCATTATCATCACAGGACGTCAGAAATACTGCCTAAACACTGTCAACAGTTAAGATGGCTGAAATCTCTATCATTGCTATTTTCATATGCTTTCATACACCAAAAATGTAAATCCTAGCCTGCCATTGGGATTGTGAAAAGCCTGAGAAAAACCACCAGACTAAGTTTACCACCGACCATGCCATGGCAATATGATATTGGAACCAAGCGCTTTGGCACCAAAGTCAAGCACCTTACCGCTTGTTAGAGAAAACAAACTTTGAGCTTCGGCACTTGTGTCAAGTCTACAAAAAACAGCATCCAAGAAACCCTGGACTTGACTGTCAACATACTAACAGTTTCAATAGGAAAAAGACATGGTCTTTGGCACAAAGAAAATAAACTAAAATAAGAAAAATCCATAAAATAAAACTTCCACTTTCAAATGAATGTGCCATACACTGTAGGCCCTACTTGGCATTACATGTCAGAAGCACTAAAGTCATGTTGTCCTATAACCGGACCAAGCACACCATCCCCTCCCTGAGAGTGTGATAAGTGGGAAAGAAAGACAATTGAGTCACTCTGGCCAAAAACTATCTAAGCATTGAGCTGAATATCAAGCCAAACAGGTTGACGAGTGGGCTCTGGTTGGAGATTGTGCTATCTTTTCCTTTACTTATTTATTTTTTCTGTTCTTTTAGAATACCACAAGGTGTCAAGGGCAGATACAATTGTCAGACATTGACCAGGTGTGTTGCTGTTTGGATCGTCATGCTGTTACTTTAGAGGGTCTCCTTTACTCCGTTGATCCATCTTTTTCTTGATCATCCTATCATTCTACTCAAATAAAGACTAGAAAAAGGTGGCAACGCTCATGGGAAGCCTTTGTACAGCTTGGTCCAGAGGGGTCTCAAAAGTAATAGATTTGTCAGTGACTTCAGGTGTTTTGATTCCATGAACAATTTTAATTTGACTGTTGTGGCATGCAAAATTAAATTCTACCTTGTTCATTCTCTCTCTTTTCTGTGAGTGGTCTCCTACACCACCATTCCCAACACTCTCCACCAATGGCAAAACATTCATGAACTTAGAAGAAAGGAAAACCACAATGAATGCAGAAACAGAATGTATGCAAGAATTGAACCATAGAGTGAAATAGAAAACAGAGAGGATAGGCACTTGGTGAGGATACGATAAGCATTTGACTTAAGAATAAAAAAGAAAAGACACGCCAGTGCTCTCTGAACTCTGACAATACTTAAAATGCACAGCTGAAAAACAGCACAAGGAGAGGAGAGCACACAAATCAGGTTTAACAATGAGTAAAAAGATGAAAGATATAAGCAGATCAATGCATGTAAAAAAACCCAACCAACCAAACATGGATTCTAAACACACTTGGCATGATTAAATTACTGAAACAGAGGAAATAAAAAGTGTGGAACAGAAACACTTGACATAAACTGAGAAATGAGCAAAATAAAGAAAATTCATACCTTTTCTACCTCTAAAACTAGAAATGAACCATTTGACGAAACAAATACAGAAAATAAAGTGATATACACTATAACTATAATTTTTGACTTAACAGTTGTAACAATACAATCATTCTAATTCAGTAATTACAAAGAGACATTATTAAGCTAAAAAGTCCACTTAAACATTTATAAAACTAGCATGGTACGTTTTTAATACCCATTAGGAAAACTGACCAGAGGATTTCAACATGAATTAAGATTTAACAAATCCAAGTACTCAAAGAGAAATAAAATTGAGTCCCCTCCATCGAAAATTGTGTTTAAAAAAGTCAAATGATTAACAGGTGTTAAACTACATACAAGATATTCTTACAGACTGCAAAACAAGACTTCCTAGACATGAATAACCCACCCATATCTTTTGGAAACTTGAAGGCACTTAAACATCTCTGTTAATAGTAAACATTTTAAAAGAAAAAAACAACTATTTAATACAAAACTTAAAAAAAAAAGAAAAAGAATATGATAGTTTAAGTCATTTATTAAACGGACCTATGCTGTGGAGAAACAGGCAGAAATAAAGAAAGTTGATCACAAATATCATTATCACTTAGGCACTGACACGTCTCTGAAAGAGAAACCGTGCAACAACAAGAATTTATTTAAGTGGTTGAAGACAACAGACGATAGTGAATGTGCATTTCTTACTTGTTTTTCCACATAACACATTAATGAATCAATTTGAACATATGATTTTAGTATCAACATGATAATGACAACGTCACCTTTCTAAGAACACACACTCCACACACTATGACTGAAATGCTTCTTAATCAGAGCTTGACTAAATTCCTTTTCAATCAGAGTCCTCCTCATCCTCATACTCATCTGTATACCTCGATGCTTGCACCCCAGCTGGAGAGTAAAGAAAAGCAACAAAAAAAATAAATTTTTAATCCCAAAATAAGTTTACTAAAAGAAAGAGTAAAGCATTCATGAGAAAAAAAAAAGACAGTCCACATTCTTTGATAAAGTTAGTTAAACTTCCACAGTCAAGAAAAGAATCAATTCAACCTTACTTAGCATGGGTGCTGATTGATTAAATGCTGTCCAGTTCAGGGGTGATAATTGATTAAATGCTGTCCAGTTCAACAAGGACACTTAATAAAAGAGCAAGAACACACACAAACACATAAATACATACGTACATAAATACTTACAAATAAATATACATAACAGTATTGTCCACATATCGCAACATCATAGTGGTGTGAGTCATCTATTATAAAAAATGTACAAGAAATATATGAACAAACCTCCCGCCCCCAAACAAACATACAAGACATATCAAATAAGTATACCAGAAGGAAAAAGCAAGCAATAAAACAAACCTGCTTGTCTCAGCTGTGCAGCTACCTCTGGGTCTTTGGTCAGGTCAACAGGAAGCCGGTTCTCGTTGTTACGAATATCAACCCTGGCACCTGGGGGTTCACAAAAGAAATTTAAGAGATACAGAGTATTGACAGACTTGCCAACCCCCCAAATTCACTTGGTTTATTTTTCAGGCTTATTTTGAAAATGAAATGCTTATTTGGTGACATCAGAAATTTTTTTTTAAAGGCCTGAACTCAAACAAAATTCTATCATCGAATGCTAATTAATTTCCAATTCTGGATTCTCGATGGGGAAAAACCAACAGGTATCGGCAATTGCTCGTGTATTCTCAACTCACGACGAGTCCTCGAATTATGCAGAATCAGGTAACACTGACAAATTCCAGACCTTCCACAAGGAGAGGTAGAGACCTAAGACAAGTTTTACGATCCGACATCGGGTTTCAAGCAATGGCGATCATGCTTATCAGAAAATCAAAAGATGCGTGCTTGATTGCTTAGACACATATTTGCTGATTGCTGACAGTTTTGAGTACTTGAATATGCAATTGCTTACAGGTTGGCAAGTCTGCATTGACTATACAAAGTACAGTTGAAACTGTAATTGTCACTGTAAATGTTAGAAAGAAGGGTGAGCGCTTCTGTGCGGAGGTGTCTGATGATTTGGTTGTGCATTTTATCAGACCCCGAGGCTGTATTACTCAGGACCGAGATGCGGGAGTTGACAAGAGTTCTTCTACAGTGAAATCAGAATTGTAAGTTTCTGTGTTGCTTGGTAAAACTTTATGCATTGTTGTTTGCTACTGGTTTTGATGCTTTTGTAATGTGGAAACACCAATTCTCAGTCAGGATGTTACCATGCTATAAGACCCAATCAAACAGGGCAAAAGGGGAGGACCCAAAGTGACCTGGAGATGCACAGTAGAGTCTGAAATGAAGTCCTGGAATCATTCGTGGGGAACGCTGACCAAGATGGCCCAAAACAAACAGACCTGGAGATCCTTTGTTGCTGCCCTAAACGCCAGATGGCGTAATGGGTAGTAAGTAAGTAAAGTAAGTAAACAGGGCAATTCGTTCTCTATAATGCGCATGGGCTTGCAAGCTTACATTGATTTAGTAATCTTCATGGGAATCAGATTATGTACAGGGAATTTGTTTTATATATAAATTACAAATTGCAATACCGGTCTACATGGTGATCCTTTGGCAATAAAGAGAAAGGCGGTTCGCCTTAAATAGGTTTTGTCTATAAAAAATGTAATTACACTTTTCTCTTAAAGACCAAATCATTCTGACCAGTTATATAAAATAAGATTTGCAGGTGCTGTAAAATGACCTGTTGCCGACACAGATGGTATTAGGAACTATACCGTAAAAATGGGGCTGCCCCACAAATGTTTGTTCTGCATATATAGCGTACAACTATTCCTCTTCTTACCTTTCTCGAGAAGTAATCTAACAGCCTCAGCATGATTCTTCCATGCTGCAGAGTGGAGTGGGGTGTCTCCTAGTTTATTCTGAAAAAAGAAAAACAAAAGAAACCCATTTACATTGGCCAAGGATACCAACAAAAAACAGGAACTACATCTTTATAGTCAGTCACAGACTGTCAATGTATACAAGAGAAATGAAGTATGGACAAGACAACAATAAATAAATACATTTCCACAAATTATTATTAAATCTTAAAACTAGTATTTTTATCCAGCACAAACATTCTCATTTCCTAAGCTAATAATCCAGGTCATATTCTGTCATATCTTAAACAGAACTGCAAAAAATAGATGTACGAGAAAGAATAGTGGAGTCCAGACATATGAGAATTTCATCTAAATGAGGAAGATCTAAAAGATCAAATTCCGGTAAACTCTTCCAGGTGCATACAATAGAAAGTAGTAAAAACAATCGACATTATAGGTTCAGCATGGGATAAAGAACCTTGCGATCCAACCCATTTTAAAATGGAACTTGTATGAATCGTTAAAAGTCATCTAAAAATATAAACTGATCAGTGTGAAGGCTACTCCCACATTGTGAGATTTCAAAGGTTTGATGTTCAGCTAGACTGGACTGACAAGTAAGAAAAGCACTGGACAACAGCCAAGAGATTGAGGAGTATAAGTCACAACCAATGTCTTTATGATTGGAGGAGGGAGTATTCCTATGTTCTGCTCGGGGAAAATAGAGGAGAAAACAAATAAAAAGTATGAATTAAGAAGGAGAATACTCAGCTACAAGTACGCTCGTAAGACAGGGAAACCGGGGACTGAAAATGGAATTCTATTTTCATAGAACAACAAGGACCACAAAGATTTTTAAAACGATGACGCTCTCAGCATTTTTTAATAGGCAAAACAGTCGTTTTAACCGCAACAAAACATGATAAAAATGTTGTCAGTGAGAAGCAGCAGTATTGGGAATGTATGTGAGTATGCGAGAGAGTTTATGAAGGTAAAGTGTGTGTGTGTGTGTGTGTGTGAGTGTGTGTGTGTGTGTGTTTGTGTGTGTGTGAGTGTGTGTTGTGTGTGTGTTTGTGTGTGAGTGTGCGTGTGTGAGTGAGTGTGTGTGTGTGTGTGTGTGTGTGTGTGTGTGTGTGTGTGTGTGTGTGTGAGTCGGTGCCTGTGAGATTTTTTTTTTTTTAAAGTTTCCCACACCTGCACATTGACTTCACAGTTGGGGACTGCCAGCAGAGTCTGTAGACAGTCTATGTGACCTCCGTGTGAGGCCCAGTGGAGTGGTGTGGAGCCAGCCTTGTCAAGACCATTGACAGACACCTGGACAGAACACAAAAAGAAATACAGCAATGTAGTTTGTTGAGGACAGTGAGAAGAATGTTAACACAATTATGACAATGGTATTTAGAAAGGGGACAAAAGAGAGAGAGAGAACGACAAAACAAAAAGATTGGTAAGAGTAAAACATCCACTTGAAACCACCAATGGAATGTACTAACCTAGTCAAACATGTGAAAAAACAATATCAATCAAGGTCTATGTCTTATGACTCTAAACTATTGATCTTGTTAAAAAACAACATATGAATCCTTGGTTACCACCACTTATTTCGGGTTTCAAAACAGGAGAAATAAATCATGAAAGCCATACAGTCTGTTATACCCACAAAAGCATTGGGTTTTTTTTCTTTCTTTTTGTTTTTTTAAAGCTTTGTTACCATGAGGGTGCGGTGGCAGAGTGGTTAGTGCACTCGTCTCCGAATCAGAAAGTCCGGGTTCGAGCCTCGGTTCGGACATAGATTTTTTTCACCCCCTCCTGTCCACCCAGCAGTTATGGGTACCTGACTTCGAGTTAGGGAAGTAAAGGAGGCGTGGAAAGGAACTGGCCACCCTACCACAATATGTCGAAGGCCCAGGAAGTTGTCCCACTAACAAGGCAATCCCCAATGTCCGGATTGGATGAGAGAACAACTTTACTTTGTAGGCCTACCATGACAAATGTGACAATTCTGTTTTACAAAGTTAAGTCAATGTAGATTAAGCTTTATTATTAGCAAAATTGTATTAGAGACAGCTGATTACCTGGCGGTCTAATCTTTTAACACATATTGCAACAGTTGAAAGGGACAATAAACCTACTCTTAAACCAAACCAAAAGAAGAACACCGTCTTACCCTATTTTGAAGGCATTCTGTCATAAAATCAAGGTTGCCTCTTTTCGCAGCATCATGCAAAGGGTTGTCAACAGACTCTGTGTTTTCTGCCACTGAAGCAAAATAGTGAAAATTCAACAGTGATTAATAAAATGGAAACAATCAGTATGAGCAAATGTATCCGTAGAAATGCATACTTAAGTATAAAGAAATACATACTTAGTGATAGTAACTACAATGGTCCCCGGCTACTACAGGACTGCCTGGACCAACATCTATTGCTGTTATAGCCGAACCCTGTTATAAAGAGGATCAAGTTGACATAATGCATGTATAACAATAATAATATTTATATAACACCATGCTCTACAGAGTCTACAGCATGCTCTGTGCACTTAACAACGACCGGTATTCATAATCAATATTGATCTGAGGTAGCTCTAGCACCTAGTGCCTACTTTTCATTCAATCATTTATTCCCATAATAAGTCTTGCCACCCCACAGGGAGACAATGTGACAATGTGCTAGACCACAGTCACAGTAATTCACTGACTGGATTTGCATCAACACCAAAGTGCATTCTGCTTTCCCTCTCTCTCCCCTGCACACATGGTATGAAAATGATAAAATGTGTGCACAAGCAACTTAGGCCTACTGGGGGTCACGTAGGTATAATTTGCCATCAACATTGGCTGTGGTTTTGCTTCATTTGCTTTTTTATGCTTTCTTGTCCATTTGTTTTTCGATTGTGTCATTGGTTGGATCACTACTATAGCTGAGCATGTCTGTCCGAATGCCCGATATGAAAAAACCATACATTATAAGAAATTGGACTCTGGGATTTATCACACGCATGTCATAGCTGAAATCCTGTCATAACCAAGACTGTTAAAAGAGGGGCCCGCTGTATTAAATGATCTTTGAGCTGGTAACCAAGTAACAATAATAACAACAAAGACATCATCATCATCATCAATGCCTTTCACCCCTGGCAGGGTATAAGCCACATACAAGCTCGTTCCATTTATCTCTGTCCTGAGCCATCCTTCCAAGCTCGTTCCAAGTGAGCTTCATTTCTCTCATGTCCCTTTCCACGCATCTCCTCCATGTTTCCCGTGGCCTACCCCTGCCTCGTGCTCAAACGAAGAGCTCCCCCTCTTTCATTCGCTTCTGTCCAGACTGGTTCAAGTGGGTCTCACTGATTCCCAGTATGTGTAGTTGGTATCGGTGCATTTCTTGGAGAGCTTGTGCAGTTTTTCCAGCCTCATAAAGGGTCCTAATGTTCCACGAGCCGATCCGAAGAGACTTGGACTTGGATGATGGTGGAGGCTTCTGCCCAGCAGCTTCCTTTCGGCTTTCACTGCCTTGCATCATAAACTCTCCATTTGGAGAAGATCCACGATCAGCCAAGCAGAGATAATGGTTTTTGCTTGTATGTGTTTCTGTAACAGGATCTTTTTACGAGAGAGGTTGTTAGCCTCATGACTCAACCCCCGACCTGGAGGCAGGATGACTCTGTTTCAGGAGTCACTACCTGGTTCGCCATTTAGTCGCCTCGTACGACACGCTAGCACCACGTCAGTCCTATTCTTCTCAATGCCGAGACTGCACGGCTAACAAAGACATGAAAACACTTTTTTTTTTTAATTTAAAAAAAAGCACTTTTTCTTCATAAAAAATGAAAATCCAAAAAAGAAGGCAATAAGAAAAATAAAAGACAATGCCAGCTGGCCCACCCAAGTACAGTAATTGATGAAAAATACGGAATGTACTAACCATAATTACTGGGGATTAGACCTGAGTTTTTCCCACACCTTGCCTTCCACCAGTTTGGATCTTTCATGTCCAAGATATAAAGCAGGTCTCCTTCATCAAAAGAGAGCTCATCCGACTGAAACAAGAATAGACACTTAGTAACAACATGACATCATTTTGACAATTTGAATTACGTTACAGTCATCCAAACATCAAAATGTGATAAAGAAATATTTCTTAACATCTTTTATTTAATGAGATTGTTAACCAGAATATAAGTACAGAGGAGATTGCTGCTACATACCAGAATGTCAGTACAAAGGTTTCAGCATAAGAACATGCCACTTAAGAACCCGTTACATGTAAGAGTCGACCATTAGCATATATATATATCTACCCCATTCTAAAAATCAAAATCAGTCTTAGAGCCTGGTCTGAGCTAAGGGAAATACACTTTTCTAAGAGTCTTGCCTTAACCCACTTTGGGCATGAGCTATAACATTAAACAGTTCAGTAAAACACAGTTGAGGGTTCTGTGGGGGAGAGGAGTGGGCATTTTCACATACATCATCCACTTGTTTCAAACAGCACTGTCAACTTTCAAGCACATCAGCTCATTGACAGATGCAGCCAGAAGACTCTATGCCATGCAGTACCTGATAAGGCATGATTATTTTTAATGCCCACACACAATAAAAACTTTGTAAAAATCAACGCAACCCCCCCCCCCCCAGCAAATCTCATTTTCTTTGGTTGTAGTGTGGCCTATTGACTATTTAATTAAATAAATAAGAGTTCTAAGCTAAACAGCAGGATCTTAGTTGTGCCCCTTAAAGTCAACCAAATAACCCAGTACCCCGGCCCCAAGAACCCACTTTTTTGGCCTCCCTATGACTGGGTTCATCAATGAAAACCATTGTACACAAATTGCTGGACTATAGAAAAAAACCTCAATAGGTTCCTTTTCAAGCAATTTGTGGGCTGCATTGACAGGAAATGCCCTGGTTAGAAACTAGTAAATTTACATAAAGACACTGGCCCAAACAACATGAAAACATTTATCAGATGATCTCTGCTCTCATCAAACAGAAAAACATCACATGTCTGGTCCCTTTGTTGTACAGCTGATCATTCTTGGACAACAATAAGTTCATTAAAACAATGAGCAGAAGCACAAAACATAATGACTGTTGGTTCATTCAAGCAACATCAATCATTCTATCATGATGCTGTATGAAAAGTTCCACAGTTTCCAATAAAAATCATAGAAATACCAGAATGTGTTATATAGTAACATGTGCAGTCAGCTTAAAACAGCAAAAACAGCGTAAAACTGAAAGAAAAAAAAAATTGATTTTTTTGTTGTAGATCAACCTCTCTAAACCAAATATCCAGGTAAACTAAAGAAAATCTCATGGTCCCACAGATTTCTGTTTAAGTGGACTTCCTATTGAAACGATGAAAGAAAAATAGTCTTCAAACCTGCTGAGCATCATATCTGTAGAGAGCACGAACGACCTTCACTTGTCCTGGAAACAAAACGGTATAAAGCAAAGTTATTTTTTTAAGTTAAGGGATAAAATTATTAAAATGTTGCTTGCAAGGCGAAAAGCCCACGCGGATGTGGCTTTGCACATTTTTCTCTCCCACAAAGAATATAGGCTATATATAATATATATATATATTATACCAAGACATTATCGATTGTACCAGCACCATGGATCATTACCTGCTTGGCCTAGCCTCTTTATATAGCATACAGCATAATGCAACCAATCAGAAGTCTTCTTTCACAGACACACCAACACGTGTGTTGTTGATGAGCTCAAGACATGTCATGGTGTGCGCTGTGGTCAGGGGGGTTGATGGGTAGCAAGCACATAGGTCTCCATGTGGCTGTTAGTGCATGCATATATAATATATGTTGCCTGATGGAACAGGGAGTGGGCCATATAGACATGAAAGTGTTCTGGGTGTGGAACAACAGCTGAGATACAGCTAAGTGTCACAGTCACATACATGACATTCCCTCACTCCTCCTTCTTCACCTTGGCAAGTGGTCAATGAAATGCTAGCTTAGTCATAAATCTAGATCAACGTGTCATATCATGTAATGAACTGCTCACTGGTCTGTGGAAACAAATGTTGCTGTAATGGTGCTCGCCAGAGACGTCTCCAAATATCTTCTGTCTGACTGTACTAATACGTTCTATGTGGACTATATCCAGTGCCCACAGGGAGGGGGGTGCCGAACAGTGCCAAACCGAGTGCCCGGTTCGCGGCCTGAAAACAAATGCATTTGTTTTAAAGGCTTCGAGTCGGGTGATCTGTTTGTGCAACGATGGTCGCTTTGTACCCTCAATCTGGCTGGCCCCGCCAACCAAACCGAACCAAACTGATCATGCCAATCGGTAGAGTTGGGTCGGGCTCGCTAAATCAGCATCCGAGAGTAATGAACTACTTGCTGGCACTACCCGCAAACGAGCGGATGGGTAACGAACCGCCTGCTTGTGAAGAGTAGTTCGCTACTCGCTACATATCAGACAGAGACAACAGTTCGTTTAGCGAGCGGGCGGACGGGGAGACTCCATGCATTCGAGCGGGTGGACGGACGGATGGGGAGCGAGTCCTTCTATTGCATACTACTTACACTCCCCCGAAAAAAAATCACACCCTCCTGCCCCACATTGTAACTAGGCGTTCATGGCAGAAAATTCTCTACCCCCCCCCGCCAAAAAAAAAGGCCTTTGGGAATTCCTTAAGTTTTGACTTCCCGATAATTGGAATGTAAACAGTGTGCCCACACACAAGGTGAAAGGTTACACACATACATTGTACTATGTCAACAGCCTCTCTCACTCCCTGTGGCACCGCTAGCGGTTTGAAACATCAGGCCTAATTAACAAACAATAGACGGTGGGTCTAATCTCGCGTCGAGTATCTTGTCTGCTAGAGTTCGTCCGTTCGCCCGACCACTCAGTGAATAAAATTGTGGAGCGAACCTAAGAAACGAACTGACTTGAGGCTGGCTTGAGGTCCGCAGTCCGCACGCTGAGAGAGTAAAATTGTGGAGCGGACCCAAAAAACGAACTGTCTTGAGGTGCGCAGTTCGCTCTCATGGCCGTCCGTTACGCGCTCGCTCAGACTGAGTCCGCGAGTAACGAACCCGTCCGTTCGCTCGCCCCAACTCTACCAATCGGCACCCCGTATACCATACATGTACCCATATCATATATAAATAGGCCTATAGATCTAGATCTAGAAAATCTAGATATCTAGGCCTGAATCTAGATCTAGATCTAGTCTATCTAGATTCTAGATCTAGATCTAAATCTAGTAGGCTACTTCAGTGACTTCACCTGGTTTAGGAACTGGTGGTGGGGGACGAGCGGGTCTTGGGGCTGCACTTGACATGGCAAACAAAAATCCACGAAAGACCTACAAATGTCAATTAATTTTTTTAAAAAGTGACATACAATGGCCCACCCTCGATTACAGTTATTCTTAGACCAACAGAATTAATCTAGACTTCACAGAACAAGACGAACTCTCGAAGTTCTCATCACCTCATAAGAAGAGGAAGGCGAGAAATCAAGTGCTATCTGCTTCCTGTTTACATGATCTAAGTTTTGTCACACCAAGTGCTAATCACAGCCCAATTTAAGAACTACTCCATATACGAATGAAGTATAATTGTAGTCAACAGCGACGAGTAAAAAAAAAAGTTGTTCTGATCAAGCGACAGGATTGCGTTGCTGTTTCACAAAAAAGCTAATGTAACTGTTTAAAAACATTTGACGGCTATCTATGTTTATGCTGAGGTGATATAATGTTATTGCACTTCAGACATCGACTTCCCAGCCATGTCATTTGGTAATTCATTTTATTTAACAATGAGTACTCCCTACCGACGACAAAACATGGCTGCGCCCTGTGATAAATGTCTGACAGATGCAGAGGTCTGAGGTCGGTTTATGAAGAAAGCGCAATGATAGTGACTTTATTCGTTGTCGAATGAAATTTTAGTCCCTGTAGTATTAATAAAACACATTTAGCACCAGGTCTCTATCCAAATGGGAAAAGGACCAGTTGGTAAAGACTTCACCGGTACAAGTACAACGCAAACTCAGCAGACTCATCAAACTGTCGGCAAGGACAGCGAAGGAATAATGTCAAATCAAAGTCAAAACAACACTGCAAAGCATGAACCTGTAAAGGATGCTTTCAAGACGAGGTCGCCGGGATGGACACAGTTGCCATCAACATCATTATTCAGGGCTGTCAATTTTGAACTTTTTGTTAAGCCGGTAAGTAAATGTTCTCCAGCTTTTTTTTAAGAAAGTGACTATTCTCACCCGCCCGGAAGTTCTCGCAAGATCAACTCCTCCCCTCTTCTTTCTCTCTCTGTCTCTTTCTGAATACTG